ACGGCTGCGCCGCGTCAAAAATAGGTTTCATCCTAATTTTAGAGGAGCCCTGCGCCGAGGCGCTTCTGGGACGCTTCTGAGCCGTAACGCACCGCGTGTGGTGGAATAGCACCCATTGACTAGAGTGGCCGCGATCGCCGTGAGCACCACGGCGCAGCCGTAACACGCCCGTAACACGCCCGTAACACGCCCGTAACACACCCGTAACACGCCGCAGACGGACCCGGTGGAATCTAGGGGTGAGACTATGTTCGCCCCTTCTAAACTTATGAAATGAGGTGTGTGTGTGTGTGTGTGTATAACCCTGCTTCCATCATACAAGATTTAGGGGATCTATTGGCAACTGCTGATAATAACATCCATCATTATAGTTTACTAATTGTTGTCTTTTTGTCCTCTAGGTTGCACTGCCACGTCTACAGTAGCGCAGTGTGGACAGAGAAAACATGATTGGGCCTCAAGTTTTTTGCATCCAATATACATTCTCCTACAAACTTGGGATAGGAGGGTTAGTGAACAAGTTATCCATTGGGTGGAACCTACATCCACATTGTTAGACGTACTAAATCCTGCACGCTGGTCCTTCAAATTCACAATGTGAACATATGTCGCCATTTTGTAACTTCTGTTATTTTCAGTTGAGAATGTTTCAAAGTAATCTTAAAAATGTCACTTATTTTCCATCAATCCTGATACAGGACCCCGTACTTATATGTTATAGTTTGGATTCCTAAAGGTTTTTGCAGTGCATGACATTAAGGATTTTTGGGAGATGGCCCTGTGGGCCATCTAAGCTAATTTACAGATGGCCCTGAGCCCAATAGAGATTGCCCTGAAAAATGTGCACGGACGAAATGACGCACAAAGGGTTTGGGGGGCCTCCCCTAGACAATTTAAATGTTTGCAGGTCTTAGATGCTGTCTGGTGCATTCTCTAGACTGAATTATAAGATGAACCACCACAATATTATACGTTTCAATTGTATTCTTCATTTAACTTGTTTGTTTGTTCTTGTTTGTGTTTGCTCGCTTGCATGCCCTGCATAGCTATAAGAAATACTTAAGTTGTTGGTCAAGACACTTTCCATCTGATGAAGGCGAATGCCTTCCCAGATGTAAAAAAGTAGAAAACATTACATTCAGTTATAACTGCCAAAACAAACATTATTTACACTATTATGGCCCCTGTTAAAAATGTTTGTAATGTTATCTACTGTAAGTTGGTCGAACGAATGCCTCCTCATCCGGAAGCTGACCGAGCAGCAGTCGAGAGGAGCCGAGCGCATCCGCGAAGCACACAAAATGGCGACGTCAGAGTTCCCGTTAGCCGGCAAATCTAAATCTCTTCGGTCAAAATGTCCGGTCAAAATAATTTCCCTTTAGCGCAATACCGCTTCAGTTGCGCCACTTATATGACAGACAAGAAGAGTATGTGACAGACAAGAATAGTAAATTCTAATGTCTAACACTTAATGTGGAGAAAGAGATGTCCTGTATGGGTTGATTGTGCATTGATCTGTTGGTAATGCCTCGGGGTTCCGGTGGGCATGTAAACATATGCATAATGCTGCGCTATACTTTGCGGCCTCACCCAGTTGCATAGCGACACTTATTGTTTAGGTGTCTTTTAATAAGCAGGTAGTCCTATCATTAGCTAGAACTAGCTGGATCTGATCGATATGGACATAAACGCGAGTGAAGTCTAATCTGACGGGAGAGAGAGATCAGCTGCTGCTGACGAGTCGACACGCAGCTCTGCATGATCACATGCAGCGGTGAGCGGACAAAACACACACTTCAGGTTAGAATATCACACGTAGCTATTTTAATTACCTCTCAAACTACCTAAACTAGTTATAGATATGTTTAGTTTACTGTCGGGTCACTCATTACTGGATCCGCGAGCTGCATGATACTGGCATAATAGATTGCCCGATCGGGCAACCAGCAGGTGAGGCTTCATTGCCCGAGCTAAATACTAGATGGCCCCGGGCCATCGGGCAGTCGTTAATGTTGAGCCCTGTTTTTGGCAACTATCCAATCCAGCGTTTCTGCCAGGGGGGCGTCTTTGAAACCCTTATTCAGCTCGGAACGCCCTGAACTCGAGCCAAGGGTAGGGCTGCAACAAACGACTAATTTGATAATCGATTAATCTATCGATTAATGAAACGATTAATCGACTATTCCTGTATGCCTTGCACAATTTCTCAAACGCTCTTATTTAGCCATCAACTTTTAGATTTAGCTTGAGGTTGTTTTAGGCATGTGGAAACTAACAATGAAGACAATAAAGATGAATACTTGATTCAAAAATACATATATTATTAAATTAACTAAACACATTTTGAACAAATTAACAGATTAACATTGCTTTTTATTTAAATAAAAATAAATAATATTTCACATCAAAAGAAACAATGTTTTAACAAATCGTATTAAATAATCTGATGACAGAACTGTAAACAGAATAGCTGAAACTTTAACAAAATAAATAACTCAGTTTCCTCTAATCATTAACCCATGTTTGTATAATTGAGTTAACTTCGTGTGTTGCTGCTAGCATACATAACACCTGACAGTTACTCGTGGATGGGGGGGCTACAGAGCTACTAGAAAGGCAGTCGAACCCGGTGCATTCCTCCGTCTGGATGTGGAGCACTTTTGCTAAATGTTTAGACAAATTGCTCGTGTTACCGCCCTTACATGCTAAACTCTTATTGCACTATTGGCAAAGAGCATTGTCTACATTGAGACAGGTAAAGTTTGGAGCGCGTTCTCTCCGCCATCTCTGCAGTGTGTTGCTGCATGTAGCAGCTGCGTGTGTGTAAACTGCCCCGCCCCCTCGCACACAGACGGGGGAGAGAGATCTCGTCTGATCGAAAATACATCATAGACGCATTTGTTTGTCTTTTTGCATATTAGAAACGAGTTGGCGACACTAAGACTGCGATATAATGTTTTTGTAGCAATAATACATATAGTACCAATAAAAAGACCAATAACGTTGGAGCTTAACAGCGCGTAAAACACACGTGATGACGTCACCAACGAATCGACGACTGAATTAGTTGGCAACTAATTTGGTAATCCATTTTAATCGATTAAGTCGATTAGTTGTTGCACCCCTAGCCGAGGGCGTTCAAAAAAATAAATAATTTGAGAGAAGATCGAGAGTTTTTAATCGCTTGAAATGACGAAAAGGAAAAAGGACAAGGACATTCCTCTGTTGGAGGGGCAAAGGAGTCTGGTGGGATTCTTTTCGCCGCCAGCAAAGCGTGACTGCCGGCGAGCCTTAACGGGGGGTGCTAGTGGAGCACGCGTGTGAACTGAGAGCGCCGGAGCCTCGCAGCAGCGAAAACTGAAGCTAAACTGTGGTAAAATGAAGAGCAGTTTAGGAGTCGAAAGAGCCAGCTCTTCTTAGTGAGCCGAGCCAAATGAGCCGGCTCACTAAAAAGAGCCGGAATTCCCATCACTAATACGTAAAGAGATAGTATCTATAAAGATCTATAAGGGACGGCTCAATTCAAGACATCACCCCCCATCTTTTCTATAAATAATGGGTTTTTTGGACGGAAACTATAATTGTAATTGTTTTACTATGTTCAATCTGAATTTAAACAATATAAAAACATCTATATTGATTCTGACTTTTCTACATCCAACTCACAGGTGTATCGTTGCTTTGAGAATTTATTTTATTAATTTACCCCTTTTTGTTCTGGGAATGTCATTTTCGAGCCTGAGACCTGAAAAATAGGCTCAGGGCTTAACAGGTTAAAGGGATAGTGATCTGGCTCGACATGACCCTAATATCATAACACTTGTCATTTTACCTTGAACGCCATTGCTTTAATTTATTTTATGTATTGTTCTCATTGTTCAAAAGTTTGTGTTATGACTGAAACATTTTTCCAGGTTTGAAATAAAGCAAAAATAAATTACATTTAAGACGGTTTCCCCTTTTTTAAGAAAACTATGGAAATCGCAAATCATGAGTTGGTATCGAAACAAAAAGGTTGGTATCGTGACAACACTAGTGGGGACAGAAACATGGAGAAAGGTACCAAAACTCTTACATGGACATTGTTTATCTGTTTTAACTTGTTTTCTATAACAAACTAGATAAAACGTTAATGCCCTGCAGTGGCAAATAGTTTTGGTTTTATATTTGATTACATTAATTAATATTTGTTGAGATTTAGAAGAATATTTTTAAATGCTACTCTGTAAAGGGAATAGCCCTACTACTGTTAAAAAATAACCGTATTTGTTTAAAATAAAAGTGCGCAATATACTACTTTTGAATTCATTATTGAATTGTGTGCATAACAATTCAATTAATCGCAGAAAATAATTTGATTAATCATGATTCAATCTGCTGTTTAATCGTTGCCCAGCACTAATAAATAGTCAGAAGTGTTACCAAATAAGTGTTTAAACACAGAAAAACATACGAAGGGCTGGACGACTTATAGAGGTGAGGTATATTGCCTTGTAAGTTAAGATATAAGTTAGCAACATAATTAGGCTTGATATGAATATGCTTTAAGAAAAAAATAGCCTACATCAAAGCTCTCTATAGGGTTTCATTTATCTTGTTGGCAGCTCATCCCTTTAAAACAGAATTCTCAGAGTGATTATAATAAGATGACATATGAAGGGTCTATTTCAAGCTTGTTATGTAAATAAGTTATTAGGCTTTTTTGTATCAACTACAATTTGTTAGAAAATGTTATCAGCATGAATTGACTGAATTTAAAAGTGGGCTTATTAATACATGAATACTACTTATATATATATATATATTTGTACATAATATATGTATTTAAGAAGTACAATATAAGAAAAGCACAAGTTTCTTTTGTGGGCCATATTTCATTATACTTTTTGAATTAGCTGAGGGCCGATTCAAAATGGCCAGCAGGCCGCATTTCCCCCCGGGTCGTAGTTTGGCCACCCCTGGTTTAAAGTGTTAATTAAGAGTAAAGGAACAGAACAGACCTGCTCTGTGTATCCGAAGCTGAGGCTGTAAAACAGCGTCCAGTGGTTTCTGGAGTCTCTCGTTCTCCTCTTTTGAACGAGACCGCTCCTCCTCGTGCTCTGCTATAGTTTTTTCAAACTCCGTTACACACACTGTTTCTCTCCATCAAACTCTCAATCTGACTAGTGTTGCGAACGTGTTTCCAGCTAGCATGCTAAGCTAGCTCCTATAGTCCGAAGTAAACGCTGCAGAAAAAAGAGCACAGAGTCCATTCGGAGGTTTACCCTGACACACAGATGATGGATCAGTAGTGCTGGAGCTCACACACACTTTCTCAGGAACACAGAGAGAGAGAACCGTAGCGACGAGACGCAACTGTCACTGTCACTACCCCCATCTGTCCCCCTGCCCGATCTGTACTGCGCATGTGCGAGATGGTCCGCCATATTGGACAACTCCGGACGGCATCCCAAGTAGGACACTTGACACAGTGGCTTTTGGCAAAGCTCAAAAAGAAAACTCGAGAGGGATGAGTTATTGTTATTACAACGTGACTTCACTATTATTTAACGAGTTGTTAAATAATAGTTTATTGGGTCCTTTTATTGGGTTAAGTACATTGTCAGAATAAGTGAGAAATGGATTTCTCTATATAAAAAAAAAAAGTTTTGAATTGAATTATACATGAACAATTATTTGAATATATTTCGTAAGTATAAAGTAGCATGAAAAGTAAATACTCAAGTGAATTACCTAAAAAAAAAATCAGTAACTGAGTAAATGTACGTAGTTACTACTGCTTTAGGATATAAACAGATGTTATGAAATTGTTCAGTAGCCTAGGTGTCATGAAGTGGACGTGATATCTATTTATAAATGGGGAAGAAGACTAAGAGGGAAGAAGCCCGTCACATACACTTTGTTTGTGTTTTTATACCTTTAACTTTCTTGAAACTAAGGCAAAGCACATTTCAGCATCAAAGAGTACAAGTTATTTTCTCTAGACAAAATGTCAACAAAAACCATTGCACAGTTTTAAGAATAATATATTTAAATCAAAAAGCTTCTTAAGATAAGCACAAAATAAAATGTCCACAAAGGGAAACAGCATGTGGGACGTTCAATCCTTAAGAAGAGGGCACTATGTTGATTTAAAATGGTCTAATGGGTGCCAAAAAACAAACAAAATGTATTCAACAGCAGAAGAAAGCTTTCTGCAGCATCAGTGTTAAATCTCAGGAGCTGCAGCGCTCTCTAGTGGACAGTTGTGACACCAGAGAGAAAAATGGCAGTACATAGCTGCATGGAAATTACCTTGAAAATAGAAATATAACATATCTATAAATGCTGAGAGACACCAGTCCTAAACATATCATTTCTGGAGACAATGCTTTAATTACAGTTACAGTTTTTGTCTCACCTGGCTGCGTGTAGAGCAGTGGTTCTCAAACTTTTTCTGTCAGGCCCCCCCTTTGGAGAAAAAAAAAAGTCGGGCCCCCCCAACACAAATAGTCAGGCTCAGTAGCTCAGGTAGCTTGACGTTTCATAGAGGGTGCTCAAACATTTAGGGTTTCCCATTAATGTACCGGTCGCTACAGTGGAATTTTCTACTGCAACATTCCCCACGCATATACACAGTGTACCCGCGACTGTTACAATGAAGGCTCGATAATCAGCTTAGCAGGGGTAAAGTGCTATTTTTATAGGTGGTGTGTGGACCTCACATAGGGGGGTCCGGGGGCAAGCTCCCCCGGGAAGATTTCATTTTTAAATATTGAAGTTAAATGCATCAATCTGGTGCACTTTGAGAGCAAAATGAAGAGATCTATGGATACATCTCTCAACACGTAATAATACTGTACTGCATCATATTATTTTCGAATCAATAATTTTAAAAATTATGATTTTTTTTTTTTTTTTAAATCTTTTTTTTTTTAACCATTTTTCCTCCTGGTCTCTCGCGCCCCCCCTGGCATGCCTCTGCGCCCCCCTGGGGGGGGCGCGCCCCCCACTTTGAGAACCACTGGTGTAGAGCGTCTCACCTGGCTGCGTGTAGAGCGTCTCACCTGGCTGCGAGCAGAGCGTCTCACCTGGCTGCGAGCAGAGCGTCTCACCTGGCTGAGAGCAGAGCGTCTCACCTGGTTGCGAGCAGAGCGTCTCACCTGGCTGCGAGCAGAGCATCTCACCTGGCTGCGAGCAGAGCGTCTCACCTGGCTGCGAGCAGAGCGTCTCACCTGGCAGTGATTTTACTCATCCGCATCACGGAGCATGGAAAGTGAGGGGCAGGGCTGCCTCTCCTCCGCCGACGTGGAAAGGAGGTTTTTGCTGATATATAGGCTTAGTTTGTCGGAGGACATCTTACTTCTTCCTTCTCTCTGTCTATACGTATACTCTCATGTTCCGATTAACCCAGCTTCCCCAAATTTCTTTCTTTTTGGTGTCTATATACGCCGGGATCCGGAGTCGTGGATGATCCTGTTGCTGCGGTCCTGTGTCCTGGATCGCGAGCCCTGGATGTTGAGTCATGGCTGTGCCTGTTGCTGTGGTCCTGGATCATAAGTCCTGGATGGATATCCTCGTGGATTCATCTTCCTATTATACACAAATGCATTTCCAAACATTTGGACTACCTATGTTGCAAATGTATTATCTTTTCAATTTACACACGGGTATCTATTGCACGTATGTCCGTCCTGGGAGAGGAATCCCTCCTCTGTTGCTCTCCCTGAGGTTTCTCCCATTTTTCCCTTTAAACTGGTTTTCTAACGGAAGTTTTTTCCTTGTACGATGTGATATTCTGTACAAACTGTGTAGTCCACTGAGACAAATGTAACATTTGTGATATTGGGGCTATATAAATAAACATTGATTGATTGATTGATTGATTTTATGAAATGATGAATGGCACCAAAAACACAGGAAAAACAGAAACAACTCACATATAAATGCACGTGGCGAATGGCAAAGGTGAATTCAGTCTGAATAAACACGACATTTAGATATAATAGAACAAATATAAAAAACATCTATGTATAAATATAAACAATCACGACAGAGAAACTTAAAATCTGTGGAGGAGGAGGGGGGGTGGTAGGTAAGGTAACAATACAGTACAGTGAGTGTTGAGAGCAGTGCATTAAAACTGAAAAACACACATTAATAGGTATATAGAGGATATGCAGGTAGACATGTCTATCTGACCAACATTTTTAATACAAGTCGTCCATAACGGAAATGTTTAACAGTGCAGGAACTCACAAACACTGGACTCCCAAACCAAATGACGTGGAATGAACAAAAGCTGAAGTTTTTTGTCGTTTTTCTTTTTTCTCTGATGTGTTTTTCGCTCACACACAAATCACTGCCAGTGTCCCGGGTCAGCAGGGGGTCCTCGGGGTGCTACCCTCCTCTCTCTTCTCCCCCTCAGGGTGAGCCACAGTGGGTGAGGGGGGGGTGTCTAAGCCATGACGTCCTCCAGCGCCGGCAGGAAACCCTTCTCCGTCAGGTAAGCCTTCAGGGAGTTGAAGATGTGGAGCTGCTGGTCGATGCGCAGAGCCAGGAGCTGCTGGATCACCTTGCTGGGGATATAATAGAACACATATAAAAAACATCTATGTATAAATATAAACAATCACGACAGAGAAACTTAAAATCTGTGGAGGAGGAGGGGGGGTAACAATACAGTACAGTGAATGTTGAGAGCAGTGCATTCAAACTGAAAAACACACATTAATAGGTAGGCTATATAGAGGATATGCAGGTAGACATGTCTATCTGACGAACAGTGTTATTACAAGTCGTCTATAACGGATTTTTTTTTTTTTATTTTTTTTTTTCTCTGATGTGTTTCTCGCTCACACATTATTAATTTAATTTGATATATACTATTTGGTATGTTCTTTCCCACTATGACTATGTATGTCATTAAGTATGGTATTCCTGTCATGCTATGTTTTTCTTTATTATTTCTTGTTGGCTGTTCTGTTTGTCTTCTATGTTGAAAAAGAGAAGCATGATTTCCACCCCAATGAAGTCTGTACTATTGCTTACACTTGTATGCTTTTTCTCAATGAAAATATTTGAAACTAAAAATATGAACATGATACATTTGATGGCTCCTTTTCTGAGGGTTCGAGCTGGAACCACGTGCTTTATCTGCTTTGAGTTCATTTATGTAAAGTGCTGGAGCTTGACTACATAGCATTTTGGTTCCGGGTCCCGTTCCGACTCAAGTTCCGGCCCACGCAGCTATGGTTCCGACTCCCGTTCCGGCTCCAGTTCCGGCTCCCCGGCCTACTCCAGCCCCTCGTGTCTATGCGTATAATATAAATGGAGCAAAGACAACATACATTAAAAGGGATAGTTGGAGTGTTTTGAAGTAAAAAAAAACGTGTCAGAAATCCTTACTTTGATCTTGAAGGCTCTCTCGAAGCCGCTGGCAAAGAATCCTCCAAAGGGTCCCATGATGGAGGCGAAGGAGGAGAGAGCGATGCTGTGGATCTGGAACGGATACAGACGCACCGTGGTCTGAGACAAGGAACATGTGTTTATTGTTCTTTCTTGTTTATTTACAACTTTATTATGAGTTATTTCCCAGACTAATACACCCTTCCGCTGGCTTTTAACCGACATAGGCCATCAAACACTGTAATATCCTTCTCTATGTGAACATAGAGCCTGGATTATGACCAAAAATCACGGATTGATGAGTCGTGTACGCTGAGTTGATCTTATCCGCTTCAAAAATGTTGTCTTAGATGATTGCTTTCCCTTTGATTTAACAGGCACTGATTTTTCTGCTTGAATATTTCTGGTTGTGAAAAAAAAAGGCAAGGTGACACAGAGAAATATTTCTGGCTGTGAAAGACTTGAGCTGTGTTTATAATTGTTTAAAACTGCAGTCTATCTTACAGTCGTCTCGTTAAAAAATGCACTTGCAGTGTGGTATAAAAGGCGAAATAAATAAATAAAATGGAAAGCGTTAAATGTGTGCAGCGGGCGATACCATCGCCACAACTTTAAATACCATCGTCACAACTTTAAATATGTTATCATGTTTATGCGCAAATGAAGAATTCTCACTGGTTCAGAACCTTTTTCCTTAAGTGAGTTTTTTTTAATGGGAATTTCACTTTATATTAAATACATAACAATAACAGTGCAGAACATCTAATACACTTGTGAATCCAGAACAATACAACTGCAGGAGTATGAATAAAGCAAGATGTTTGCTTGCATTGAGCAGATTTGGGCAGAATCCAGCAGTGTGGATCGTGCTGTTCATCCCATGTAATCTATATGTAAAGAAAAAAATCTAAATATTTTAAGATAAACGCTGTGAAACAATCTCAATAATTGGCAGCAAAAATGTAAGGTTTTGTTAATTGGAATAAAAGGATACATGTTGA